GAAGTCTGAATAATAGAGTAAAATTACCATTTATATACCTGGAATAAGCACATTTTAATATCCAGAGAAGAGATAAGAATATAAAAGTTTATTGAATTGTATGCCATATTATATATGCTCATCTCGGCTGGTACATACATCCACTTCTAGACAATTCCTCCTGACTGGCAACTTTTTCTTCCCACCATTGTACTCCTGATTTAATGTAGTTTGTGTTAAGCTGTAAGGTCAGCGTGAGCCTGGGAGGATGGGAGTCCTGGGTCTGGTCCCAGTCCTCGATTTCTGACAACCCCTTCTCTTGATTTTCCTCTTATTTCATGACAACCCCTTGGTTTCCTTTGGTGGCTCCGATTCCTCCTGAACGTGAGCTGTAAATTGTTGAGTCTTATGAAGGACTTGGTCTTGCTTATGTTTCTCTTCAAGGTTCATGTTCTGTCTCCCTAGAAGACTTTAGCGCCATAAGTCTAAATATTTCTAAATATCTTTACTTCATAAATCATAAATTTCTCTGTCATATTCCAGACCTAAATAAGCAATCGCCTTCTTGATGTCTTCATTTGCATGTCTAATTTGCCTCTTCAGTTTAATATGTCTAAGAACAAGGTCTTGATTGATCCCAACTTATTTAACCCTTTTTCTCCCCTTTCTCAATAAATGGCACAACCAATCTACCTAGTTGCTCAAAACAAAAACCTGGCATTCATTGGTTATTTCTCATGCCTTATTCATCACCAGTTTCTGCTGATTCTGTCTCCTAAACACCTCTCCACCCCACCCGGCCTCCTCCCCACTTTACCTCTACTCATCCTACCTTTACCCTAGTCCAAGTCACCATCATCTTTTCTCCAGACTACTGCAATTTCCTGGTCTTTCTTTCTTCTTTTGCCCCTTTGTAATTCATTCTCCTGATAGCCTCTATCTATGTGATACCATATCTCTCCTCTGCTTGAGAACCATCATTCACTTCACATCTATTACCTTAAGGTACAAACTGAGCACCTCACTCTGCAAGAATATACCCCTTGCTTCTTCTTTAGCCTCATTTGTACATCCCTCACCATTGCCTATACTCACTCTATGGCCTTCTTTATCATCCTTGAATGCTCATGACCTTTCTAGCTCAGGAATTTGGCACTTGTCTGCCCAGAATTCTCTTCTCTTGCTTTTAGCATGGCTGGCTCATTTGTCTTTGAATTCTCAGTTGAAATATTATCTTTTCTGAGGGAACTTTCCAAACCACCCTTTTCAAAGTTGAATCTCCAGGTTCATTTTTGACATTGCAACCCGTTTTCTCCAAAGCATTTACTGCAATATGTGAATATCTTATTTATTGTTTGTTGTTAAAATTTTCTATCTAGAATATTATGCATTTATTGCATGAAAATGTATACTCATAAGACTGGGTATTTTGTTTAGATCACTACTAAATTCCTAGCCCCTGGCACCATGATGGCACCCAGCAGCTTCTCAATTAATGCTTGTTAAATGAGTGAATAACCCCCTACCATCATTGCAAATATCTGAATTTAGATACAACAAGAAAAATCAGTGCTGTCAGGCAATCAGTGCTCAGTGAATGCTGGGGAAATGTTGTCATCTATAGATGGGGTTGTGCCTCTTGTCTTCCTTCACCTGGAACTGGCACTTCGGAAGGTGTGATTTTACTCACCCTTAATATATTCTAGAAGGAATGATCTAGGCACAGGGCTTTTCTAAAATTAAGAAATGAGTCTCTTTCACAAAAGAACTAAAAACAGAATTCTGATTCATGAATTTGCTAATGGTTTTTCCCTCTAAGGGAACCTCCTCTGCACAGTGAAACCTCTCTTGGGTACAACCTTATGCCTGATGTGAAGGTAACAATGGAACATCAGCTCTGCTTGGCAGGTTTAACCTAAGGGGTACTCAAATGATGTTTCTTACCACCGTATTAGACTGTGCGCCCTTCCGGCAGAATGTGGGTTTCTTCTCATTCTTCCCCAAGATTTGTTTTGAAGAGTTACTGGTCTAGTTGATAAACTTGTAGATAAAAATGGCAATGATGAAAACAAACATGCAAATGTATATATTATTATAAATTTTGAAAACAAAGGCAAAAAGAATCATAAGTAACCCATTTACAACCCAGAAAATAATTACTGATAATTGGACAAGGGTAAAAGAGTGTCTTCTATGTCATTTGTCGTTGGTTTCCTTTTCTTTCCTTTAAAAATTATTTTTGAATGGAGCAACTTACTTTCATGAAGTCTAAATTGCTTAATTACATAGCCCGTAAATAGGAAAACTATCAACTGATCAACTGGGTGACTTGGAACACTAGCTTTCTCTCTCTCTCTCTCTCCCTCTCCCCCAGCCCCCGCTCCCCACCCCCTTTCATTGAAACATGCAAGGTGAGAGGAAGGAGTGGAAACTCACAGTGCAAGCACAGAAAGGAATCAGAGACTATTCCCTGGCAGGCCTGGTAAGGGACAACACTAGAGAATGAAGATGCAGTGAGGTGCCAGTCTCTCCCCTACCCACTACCACCTGACCTTTTCCCTGCATATCCAGATGCCTTAGCTCCCTACTCCTTCACCCCTCTGAGAACGAGCCACAGTGGTTTTAAAACACTCTCTGCATGCAAGGAACTCTTACATGTATCCCGTGGTTTGAGAGTACATTTACATATCATTCCCATCATTATCATCAATGAAGCCTTACTAATGATCTAATATACAGAAGAAATGACACGAAAACATCTTGTAGTTGGAGTGGCTATAGACACCCCAAAGGGAGGAAACTGAGGCACAGAGAAGCAAGTGTCAACCTTACCTGGAAATGACAATCTGAAAAGATCAGACCAACTCTCCCCCACAAGACCCTAAACCTATCTGATCTAGTGACAAAAGACTATATGGCCTCTGGCAGAAATGGATGGAAAACCATTCTTACCACCTCCCTCCAGGAGTCAGGGAAAGGATCTTTAACAACAAACTTCGGTTGGGACCCAAATATGGCCAGGTGGGTTTTCTTGTAACATGACCTAGAGCAGTGTCCAGTCTTTCTCATAGGGTTGTGAGGACTGAGGGAGAGAGTACAGGTAAAGCACCTGGATTGTGGCTGGTACAAAATAGATGCTCAGCAAACATAGCTATTATTTGTTATCAACACTCTTGCATACCCTTTCCATTCCCTTCTTCTCTTTTCATGTCTGCACAATAAGCAGATATTCCCGTACCTTCCCAGGGAGGCTGGGAGCAAATGAATTTCAGGCTATACTTCCTTGGATTATGATGATGTAGCCACCAGCCCCTGATAGACACACGGACCACCATAAACCAGTGAGTTATAGGAAACACACTCTTTATTCAGCCAGTTGGGTCTGCCAGGGGTACGCAGACCCCAAATTAAGCAGCCTCGAAATGTAGAGGTACAGGGTTTTTAAGCCCTAGATTCCATTCCGCATTCTGTTTTAAACACAAAGGTCTATTTTTCTTCTATTTACTAACTGTCAACCCACAGGTGGGTTGTGCAAACAGGGGTACAGAAGCAGAAAGAATGTTATATGTTATATTCCCATGGGTGATGACCTATGTTCCCATGGGCGATGACCTATGTTCCCATGGGCGATGACCTATGTTCCCATGGGCGATAACCTATGTTTCCATGGGCGATAGCCAAGCAGTAACTAGCTAGCACAATGATACCTCTCAGATGCCACCATCTTCTGGTTCTTTCTTCGCTAGGTCTGCTGCCTAAGTTCCCAGGACTCCTGTGGAAAACTTTTGATGGGAAAGGCAATGGGAGACTTCCTACCACTTTTTCTACTATCACTTTGCAGTTCTAGGAGACTTGCAGCCTCACCCTCCTGGGTTCGCAAACGGAGGTATGGGGTTCTTTGGGGACTTACACTGGAGTACAGTTTAAATTGGGAGCTCTCAAGACATCTCAAAAATACTTCCTTTCCTTCCCCCCATCCCCAGTGGAGATTGGAGAAGCTGGAAAATGGGTCTTTGTAAACACGATTTGATTTTTTTCATTAAAATTTTTGATGAGTGGAGATACAGTGCTTTGTGCTGTGTGGTGGTGGTGTTTTCTTATTGATGAAAGGCACTGCGCAGGTCAACTCTGTAAACCGCCGGGAGAAAAGCCGATTGCGGGGGAGGAGGGGGTGTGGTATGAGGGTACTGGTGCTCGTTGAGCGGGACGCGAATGTGAACGTGTGAAGGGGAGAGGCGTGCCCGGAGAGCGCGGGAAAGATTACTGGTGAGGCAAGTGTGTATCTATTTCCACAGCGTCCTGGCTCGCGGCAGCCCCTGGCTGGGCGAGGGGTGTGATGTGGGAGTGGGGTGGGAGGGGGCAGCAGGCGGGGCCTGCCACGTCACTTGGAGAGTGTGTGCTGGGAAGGAAGGGCAGAGCGGAGAGCCGAGCCGCTGCAGCTGCGGCCGCTGCAGCGAAGGCTTGAGCGTTGGGGAGGTGGGTCCCCGCGCCCTGGTGCCGGGGCAGCCCCAGGGCCCTCTCTGAGGCCTGCAGCGCAGCACATAGAGTGGAGTTGGCGGCTGTGGCTCGAGAACGGCGACCTTGGCTAGACCGAGCCCGCGGTGGACGTAGGGCGGAGGCCGAGCCCAGCCAGGAGTCTTTGCGGAGCCGGAGGGAGGCGCATCTGGCGCTTCGGCACCCGCAGCAGCCGGGGGGCTTGAGCTGTTGGAGGAGCGCAGTGGGAGCTGGGAAGTGCTAACCGGTCCGGACGTGCGTCCCAGAGCCCAGTCTCAGGCACCGAGGGGCGAAGCCGTGCGTCTTTTCGGGCATCCAGTTTCACACGCTCCAGTTTTGTGGTTCCAGGTATCCCAGTTAGCTTTAGCACCCAGGTGCGGACAACTGGAAGCGCGGAGCCAAATCCTCTGCTCCCAGGGCACCTCCCCTGATCTAGCTTTGCAGGGGCCAGGGCTTCAGGGCTCACGGACCCAACCGCAGGTCAGACCGCGAGCTCCGAGAAGCGCGAGCCCCACCCTAAAAAGAGGGCGCAGCCGGGCTCTGGGAAGCGCTGCCGCGCTCGAAAGGTTGTGTCGGGGGCGCCGTCCTAGTGGCGGGGAGCGCACGGCTGAGGGGACATGAGATCGGAGAAATCCCTTACGTTGGCGGCGCCGGGGGAGGTCCGTGGGCCGGAGGGGGAGCAACAGGATGCGGGAGACTTCCCGGAGGCCGGCGCAGCGGGGGGCTGCTGTAGTAGCGAGAGGCTGGTGATCAATATCTCCGGGTTGCGCTTTGAGACACAACTGCGCACCCTGTCGCTGTTTCCCGACACGCTGCTGGGAGACCCTGGCCGCCGTGTCCGCTTCTTCGACCCCCTGAGGAACGAGTACTTCTTCGACCGCAACCGGCCCAGCTTCGACGCCATCCTCTACTACTACCAGTCCGGGGGCCGGCTGCGGAGGCCGGTCAACGTGCCCTTGGACATCTTCCTGGAGGAGATCCGCTTCTACCAGCTGGGCGAAGAGGCCCTGGCAGCCTTCAGGGAGGACGAGGGCTGCCTGCCTGAAGGCGGAGAAGACGAGAAGCCACTGCCTTCCCAGCCCTTCCAGCGTCAGGTGTGGCTTCTCTTCGAGTACCCAGAGAGCTCTGGGCCCGCCAGGGGCATCGCCATCGTCTCGGTATTAGTCATTCTCATCTCCATCGTCATCTTTTGCCTGGAGACCTTGCCCCAGTTCCGTGCAGATGGTCGAGGTGGAAGCAATGGTGGTGGTGTGAACAGAGTCTCCCCCATTTCCAAGGGGAGTCATGAGGAAGAGGAGGATGAAGACGATGCCTATACGTTTCATCCTGGCATCACCCCTGGGAGAGTGGGGTCAGGGGGCTCATCTTCACTGAGTACTCTCGGGGGCTCCTTCTTTACTGACCCCTTCTTTCTGGTGGAGACTCTGTGCATCGTTTGGTTCACCTTTGAGCTCCTGGTGCGCTTCTCTGCCTGCCCCAGCAAACCAGCCTTCTTCCGCAACATCATGAACATCATTGACTTGGTGGCCATTTTCCCCTACTTTATCACTCTGGGCACTGAGCTGGTGCAGCAGCAGGAGCAGCAGTCAGCCAGTGGAGTGGGTGGCCAGAATGGGCAGCAGGCCATGTCCCTGGCCATTCTCCGAGTGATCCGCCTGGTCCGGGTGTTCCGCATCTTCAAGCTCTCCCGCCACTCCAAGGGGCTGCAGATCCTGGGCAAGACCTTGCAGGCCTCCATGCGGGAGCTGGGCCTGCTCATCTTCTTCCTCTTCATTGGAGTCATCCTCTTCTCCAGTGCCGTCTACTTCGCAGAGGCTGATGATGACGATTCGCTCTTTCCCAGCATCCCAGATGCCTTCTGGTGGGCAGTGGTTACGATGACCACCGTAGGTTATGGGGACATGTACCCCATGACAGTGGGGGGCAAGATCGTGGGCTCACTGTGTGCCATCGCTGGGGTCCTCACTATCGCCCTGCCGGTGCCTGTTATTGTATCCAACTTCAACTACTTCTACCACCGGGAGACAGAGCAGGAGGAACAAGGCCAGTATACCCATGTCACTTGTGGGCAGCCTGCACCGGACCTGAAGGCAGCTGACAATGGACTTGGCAAGCCTGAATTATCCGAGGCCACCCGGGAACGGAGACCCAGCTACCTTCCCACTCCACATCGGTTGTATGCAGAGAAAAGGATGCTCACTGAGGTTTGACCACTGCAGGCAGGGCCTACATGAGAAGGGTGACACCGAGCAAATAATTTCTTAGGCTTCCTTCTCATTCTCCATGAATCTCACCGGAGCTCCAGTTGACTTCCTGACTTCTTCCCCTATACCCAGTGCATGGCATCCAGGACCAAATACCTGGACTGTCAACCTTGTTGCTTGGTCCCTGCAGCATTCAAGGTTTATCCGTCTAAGTGACATTTTTGAAATTCTAATGGTGCCACCCATTCGTGCCCATCTTCTGTTACATGGATGAGATTTCTGCCTGATTTTCCCTCAAGACTCCGATTTTTCATGTCTGAGACTTATAATGTCTGTAGGAACAGAGATGTCAACAGGATGGAAACTGGATCCTGTTCCTTTCCTTCGTGTCCTTTCCTTTGGGACATGTACCTGTCTTAGCTTCTGACCTGGTGGTAACTGGCAGAAGCTGGTGGACAGATACTGTGCTCATCTTGCTGTTTTATTCCAGGGCCCTGTCACACCTGCTGGTCTTCCTGCAGAGGACCCTTGGTAGAGCTTTTAGGTGCACAGCCTCAAAATATGTTATTCATCTCTAGTCTTGGATGGAATTAGAGAAACTGCAACTAATCTTGGCCGTTTGGAGGACGTTAGAGTCAGCCCCGGACCAAAGGGGCCAATGGATTCTTCCAGGTGTGTTCTGGCACAGTAAACATCAGTCTTTGGTCTACATTTTGTCTTCCCCACTCTGATCCCCTGATTCTCTGTAGCTTCCAGGAAGGTTCTTTCTCAGAGCCAAATACTCTTTTTGTGCAAGTGCCTTCCTGTGCAGAGAGACTGGAAAAAGGGAACCATAGAGCCAGGAGAAATGGCTGAATAGAGTCAAGCAACTGGCATGTCCACATATCTGAAGAGAGGTGTCACTTAAACAGATATTGTCACCTAAGAGGGGCAGAGGAATCTTGTTGCAGATGGCAAATTTCTCTCTCTCCCTTTTGCTCAACCTCTCTAGCTCTCCACCCTTCTTCCTGGGAATTTCATTTAGGATTACAGTTGAAGGCCTTCTAAAATAAACTTCAGCTTAAACCTGCAGACAGGTAAAAGAACACATTGTATGCTAGCGTGGGTTTCTTCCCATCTTGTGGGCAATGTAATAGATGGTTTAGAGTAAGGAAGAAGTATTATTCCTTCGCTGAAAGCCTCGCTGCTAGAGGGTTTTTTGTTTGTTTGTTTGTTTGTTTTAATGAGTCAAGCAAACATTCACCTGCTCTGCCCCTTGAAGCTGCAGCTGACTTGCTGTAACTGGTAAGGTAATGTGGTGGTGTCACCACCTGGACTAAGCCATCTTCTTCCATTGTGAACCTCCTGCCTTCCACCCCACTGCCCACTTCTCCTCATTTTCTCCAGGTAACATTGCCATTTGTTTGTCTGTTGCCTCGATAAACTGTGATGTACTGTTCTGAGCTCTTTTGGGTATAGTTCAGAAACTGAAAGGACTGTTAACATGTTTTAAATTTTATATCTGTGCTTTAAGACTCTTTGATGAGAATTTTTTTTTAAATTATTTTCTCAAAGAGCGACTTATGAGGGATGGCCTTTTGAGGGTTTTCTTGAGAGACACTGTGGCTCTTGTGAGTGCCAGATCTAAATCTGGATTTTGCCACAGCTTTACAGGGTAACTTTGGCCGCCACGGTTCCTCTTTGTGCCTCAGTTTCCCCTCCCATTAAAAGGGAACATTAATGTCTTCCTCTCCCTACCTCATGGGGAGTCCAATAAACTTATCTGGGAAGCTGGGGATAATGCTATGCAAATGTGTGAATTGTAGTTAAAACTCTCTTGATTTTTAGTTTACTACCCTATTTCCCATCGCCCATAGGCAAAGCCTCCCTCCCCCCAGAGTTTCTGCCTTGGATCCAGAGCCCAAGAATAAGCCATTCTGGGTCATTAGCTCCTTAAATTCCTCCTTCGCCTCTTGAACTGGGCCTCAGACTTTCTTCTTACCCTTCAGAACGGAGAATGCTCTTTAGACAGGTTCAGCGAGATCCTTCCAGGGCCAGAGATCACCTCAATTGAGAGCTTGACTTCTCTAAACCTGAAATACAGTAGGAGGTAGAGGAGTTCATGATCAAAACCTGCTTTGAGACCATAAAGTGCTGCTTTTCCAAGTCTCTTTAGTTATTCCTGGCTATCAGGGGAAAGGAGAAGGGCCCAGCTGAGGGTAAATGTTGGAACATGTAGGCATGTATCCCTATATATGTGCATGTGATCATCCTCATCACCATACCTAATAAAACACTTCCTTTTCAAGTCAGAGCATGCCTGAAAGGAAAGGGTTTGTGGAGAGCGGGCTCTCCAGGGACTCTGGTTGCCATAGCAACCTTGCAGCCTGTTCTCTCTATCTTCTGATTTGGGCAGCAAGGGAGAACAGGAGACTACATATCCCCAGCTTCTGAAATGGGAACACCCTCCCCTCCCCCCCCCCACACACATAATGGGTTAGGGGCTGGTAGTGCCAGGAGAAGGATACGTGGCCTTTGGAAAATGAGGGGGAAGCAGGTCCCCAAAACTTCAGCCCTGGACCTTTCTCCCTGGTTTCCCCACCCAGTCATTGAAACTGCCTCATCTCACCTCTGATTCTTCAGAAACTTGAATGCTAAGCAACTGCCAGTTAAACCAGTGTCGATATTATCTTTCTCAAAATGACAAGGGGAGCGTTGGTGGGGACTTGCTCCTTGAGAGGCAACCAGGCTGTGCCTCGCAGAGACTCATAATAGTTTTAGTCTATACCAGTGTCATGGAGTTTCCATCTCCTCAGAGAGAGGCTCCTCCCAGCTCCGAGATGGAGAGAAATGATATTCCTTCCCCCCAGGGAACAATCTAGCTCCTGGGAGGAATTTAATAGGTGGTTCTTCTTAAGACGTCAAAGAAAAACTGAGAGGCTGTGACCCGACCTAGTTCCTGTGAAGGATTTTGCCAAGTGATCCCTCCCTGACTCTGAACCTCTTTATGTGGATTTTGTGCACTGAGCACCAAGAGAACATGCACCCTGTGTTGCCAGGACACCTGGGATTATGATTTCACAGCTGTTGACAAAAGCAGGGCTCAGGCCATCATTACACCTGACTCAAGCCAGCAGGCGCTCCCAAAGGTCTTCCTGGATCTGTCAGGCTCGACAGAGTTGTGAGATATTCCTCCCGCCTGATTATCCCCAACGAGAGAGGGACAGCTGGCCGTCTTTGCATCTGAGGTAGGTTGTACTGCTGGGGAATTTCTTTTCAGCTCAGTCCTTTGGGCCAAATTAGAACTCAGGGTGGGGAGGGGCGGAGAGAAGGTGGGAGAGCATGCGTTTAGGAGGAATCAGGGTTTGGATTTCCCTGTCCTCAGCAGCCACTGGGCTCTCTTTCTGTGTGTGTTCTTTGACTCCATCTACTTTAAGTTCTCTCTTCTCTGTTTCTCTTCCCTTACTGCTGCCTCACCCCACCCTTTCTAATCATCTCCATTTCTCTGCATTTTCCACATCTTTTCATTCTCACTTGCTCTGCATTTTTTTCTTCTCATATTTTTCTTCTGTCGTTTTAACCTCTTCTTTCTTATGTATCTTTCTATCTATCTTTCTTCCCTCTTCATTTTTTTTAGTTGCTGGGAGCACCTATAGAATTTCTGCTGAGGTCATACTTTGAACTCTAGGACTAGCTGTTTGCTGAGAAGATTGTTCTCCAGCTGGTAGAGTCCCCCATTTTGATACCTCGGTACATCATTCTTTCCTACTGTTTTCACCTCTGTGGGAGGAGGTCCCGAATTTATGAAGCAAGATGAGATTGCTGCACGTTTAGAAAGATGTCTCTCAGACACTTCCTGAAACTATAAGGATGAGGGAGAGAGAGAGAGTGAGAGGGAAGGAGAGAGGGAGAGAAGGGGAGAGAGAGAACCAGACAGGACCAGAACCTGGTGAGTGTGATAAATACTCTGCCTATAGCACTGAAATAAATTCACATTAAGATCCCTCACCATTAAGAAGCTTACAGAAAGGTTCAAGACAAAGGAACAGTAGAAATAGTTAAACAAACAGAAAAGAGGATTTCGGAAGATATAAGATTTGAATAAGCCTTAACTCAGGGGTGGCCTTCTGAATGCCTTTAGTTCATTCAAAGGTTCTCACAGCACCCAGCTTTCTGTCTTGTACACTGGAGGCAGAACAAAAGCTAGGACTTAATCCCAGTGGTTCAAGGTGGATTAACATTCACCAATGAGTCCATATGAGAGCTGTGCACTCTCCTTGCTGGAGGTCATGGAGCATAGGGTAAGTCCCACCTGCATCAAGACATGGGTGGGGAGCTTTTGGGGGGGAGTAATGGAATTTTTAAAAACAGGATTGTGGTGAGAGTTGTACAGCTCTATAAATTAACTAAAATGTCATCGATTGTGGAAAAAAGTGGCACGAGGCTAATAACCGTCACATCTTGGCTGGGAAAATGGTTTGGTTTATAAATCTAGAAGTTTAGCATCTCTAAAGATGAACCAGACTAAATGTCCAGGATGGAATGACAGTTATTTTCTTCTGCCACATGGGGACACTTTAGAGCCTCTCATACAGTTGCTTCTTGTTACTCATGTACAGTGCTGAGAATTGATTTTTTTTTTTTTTTGACAATCAAACCATGGTGAATTTGCATATTTATTTGTTCGTTTGGTTTGTTTGCTCTAAAGATAGGTCAAAACATTTTCGGTAAATACGGAGCATAGTTAGCATATATCAAACTACAATGAGTATATTGGACATTATTTATTACATAGGACTAGGGCAGTAAACTTGCCCGAGGGACTTATACTTCACCGGCAAAACAACAACAACAACAACAACAACAACAACAACAACAACAAAACCTACAAACAAACCAAAAATCCCCTCCTAATCTCTGTACCTGTAAACACAGAATTTCTTAAGAAATTGCCCAGGAGTCAGCTTTATTCTCCTGCCTCCCTCACGCGCTTCTCTCTGAAGCAGTCATTAACCCTGAACAGCCTGCTTGCTGAAGAGGTCCCAGCAGTCTTTGGTTCTTTGGGTAAATAGAAGAAATGGGAGCCCTCGGTTAC